GACACATGCCTTTTTTTTTTACACCTCATGGATCATGTGATAAATCACATAAATAACAATGGGTCAGCAACCCTCAGGACAACCTTCAAAGGGAACCTCCACTGCAACCTGGGACCCACTAACCTTTTGACACGAAAAAACCTCTTGGATGAGAGGTGCACTTTTTTAAAACTCCAGATTCCCTTTTTTTTTCAAGCTTTTAAGGCTAAATATGTATACACTTAAACCACTTTAAAGCACTTTACACGTAAAGCACAATTTAGACTCACCAATAAACTTATCATGCATGTATTTGGACTGTGGGAGGAAGCCAGTTTGCAGCAATAGCATACAAACTACAACACAGAAAGGCCCCAGCCAGGGAACCAGGCAACATTGCTAGCTAGTTATTATTATTATTTAATTACAGGTTTAAATATGATAATGTATGAAACATAGCTAAACTATATTAAGGTAGATTAGTAAGTTTATTTGTTTTAGAAAATCCAGTTTATCACTGATAAAGCTAAGATCAAATTGATTTATTGCAGGAGAAAACAGGTTTGCTGTAGACCAGTGGCAAATAGTGTTTGCTAAGTAAAGTAAGTTTTTGTATGCAGGCAAAAATCTTTTTATTCATTGTCACATAAAAAGGGAAGAGATACGCTGGCAGTTTATTTACTTTTTCTGCTTTTCTTATTTAAGTATTTTTGCTGCTGATACTTGATCATACTTAAGCATTTTTTAAAAGGTTGTGTTATTTTTACTTCCACCAATGACTGTTTAGTAATATCAGGCTATTAGTTTGAGGCATTGTCATAGTGCAAGATGTTTATAATAGTTTAGAGGACCAAAACTGCAAGTATGACTGGATTAACCTGCCTGGGACTCTGGAAAGCAAATACACCGTATAGTTCCTTCCTCTAAGGACAAAGATATATATATAAAGTGTAGTGAAGAACCATTAACAATTACTGAAAAGAGCAGCTTGTTAACCACCGGTTCAAAACCTGGATACTTTTTTACCTATTTCTCAGTTTGAGTGTTTTTTACATAGATGCCCAACCGCTTCTCATTCAAGATAAAAACTCCCATATACCACATGCAGTCATGGTAAAAAAGCAAGTGCACCCTCTTTTAATTCTAAAGTTTTACATGTCATGACACAGTGCTTCCTTACAGAAGCAGGATGATGCAGACAGATGCTGATGATTAAGTGCAGTTGACTAAGTGACCATTAGCAAGTGTGACCATGCATAGTAAACTTTGGGCACTTTGGAGGCCTGAAGCTGGGAAAGATTATAAAGCCATTTTAAACACTTCAAAGTCCATCATGCTACAGTGAGATGGATTGTTCACATAATCAAGCTTTCTAAGCGTGAACATCCTTGCAAATTCAACCCAAGGCCAGAGAAACTACAAAAAACGCTTCCATCTCAGACTCTACATGCAACAGTTACCATGTTAAATGTTAGAGTTCATGACTGCAGAACTAAAAAAAGGCTGACAAAAAAGACTGAACAAGAATGGTTTGTTTAGAACGGTCGCCAGGAAGAAAAGACAAGAATCAATATTTTGTAATGACCCAGTGAGAGTCCAGAGCTTATCTGATTGATATGCTGTGGTGAAACTTGTATGAAGAGCTGTGTACGAATGAATACTTGCAAGTTTCAACGAACTGAAGCAACGTTGAAAAGAAGAGTCATACAGCCATGATACAGTCATACAGAAAACAGTTAATTCACATTATTGCTGCTAAATGTGGTTTTACTGCTGAATTGTGGGGTGCATTTAGCATTTTGGCTTGTTTTTTGTCAAATAAATAACAATACAGGGTAATCTATAATGTTGCTGTTCACCTGAGGTTGTGTTTAACCTCCTAAGACCCGAACTCTTCCATGGTGTGCATTTTTAATTTCTCTTTGATATTTGGGCATATTGGGGCCGGATGAATGTAAAAACAAAGAATTACCAGATTTATTTATTTTTTACCTTATTTTTTTTTTCAAGAAAAATAAGAGCCACATCTGAGGATATTCGTTTAAAATTTTGATAGAACAGTTGCAGTATAATGTCCTCGTGATTTTTTTTCATTATGTCCTGATACACAAAAACCTTAGAACTGAAGGAGGACATACTTTCTTTTTACCATGAATGCATACACATGTTAGAGAAATTAAATTCTAGCATTTGTGAGGTTGTGCAGCAGTTGTTTTGCCCAGATAATAATCTAACCTAAGTCAGTTATCACAACTAAAGAGTTTTTTCCATCGTGCTCCTCATTGACCGAGTCTCTTATTCTATTAGAGTCAGACGCTGAACACAACAGCTTGCTTATTATTAGTGCCCGAAAAAAGTTTTCCAGTTTTTGTGCTGTAATCCCTGCACCAGACAAACTAATGTAAAACATATGAACATAAAAAGGTCAAAGAAGTAGTTTCCTTGCACAATAAATATGACAATTGGAGGACATTATTTCTTCAGATCAATACCAAGAAACATTTTTCTAAAGAAGATCATCCTGTGATGATGGCTCAGAGCTATCATCACAACATGATGAAACCTGTCCAAGTTCGAGATAAAAACCATCAAAGATTGCATTAAAACATAATCCAATCCCCAAAACCAAACATGTTTCATAGACTGCTGTATCACGTGACTTTCTGTACATTTACTCAAATTAATTGTCATTACACAGAGGAGACACGCTAGATTTCAATATTAAAACATGAGATTCGTAACACTTGAACTTTAAACTTTTGCTTTGTGACACTGCAAATAAATTGATTTTTAGGGTCCAGTTAGCAAATCATTAAAATGGCATTTTCTCCAAACTCAATTATTGGTGAATAAAACAAGTTCTGTTTTGTTTCTGTGTAGAGAGGAATAAACATTACATTCCCCGTCCACATGCTCACATGTAACCACAGAATCAGATGATGTGTGGGAAGGATGTAACCTTCAAACACAGGTTTGTTGTTGAAATGAGGAGCAGCTGAGCTGTTTGTCTCCAGGCTTTGTTGTTTCCGACACAGAGAGCGAGAGAGAAAAGAAAGACAACCGTACTGTCTGTGTGACAAGAAGCAGACGGTCATGAAGACAGACTTACAATACGGTGATGTCACAGCGCTGACAGGAGCACAAACACAGGCTCGTGTCAGCAAAAAGCTGTGACGCTAAATATGAGGTGAACAAATGTTGTACTTGGAAGTTAAACAGTTGTTGATGAGGTTAAGGTTTTGCATAATAATTTTTTTATGTCAACAATTTACCAATTTTACAGTTTTAACC